GTCCCAGACTGTGAATTGAATTGAAAATTAAATTTTAAATAATAGGTACCAAAAAAACAACCCCAACTCCTTGTGTGAGTTGAGAAATGAGTGTTTCCCTTGTAAAAGTACAGTTTATTTCAAGAGTTATTTCTATCAATTTTCATACATTCTCACGCCTGTATCTTCCTTCTCCTTTAAGTCAATAGCTCTAAAATAATCTCTCCAGTGGAGGGATTAAAGAAATTTTATTACTGGTTCTGTGGGTGTGGCTTGGTGGGCGTGGCAGGGAAAGGATACTGCAAAATCCCATTTCCTCTCCACCCCACTGACCTGCTTTCCAGCTCCGTTCTCCTGTTCAGGGCAACCAAAGAAGACCCAGCCGATCAGCTGGGACTCAATGGGAGGCAGAGAATAGAGGGGGTCAGGGCCAGTCAAAGGTGGTATTTGCCGGTTCTCCAAACTACTCAAAATTTCTGCTACCGGTTCTCCAGAACTGGTCAGAACCTGATTAATAACACCTCTGAATCTCTCCCATCAGTGGTTATATTTCTGTTTTTATTAATTGAGTAGTAGCCATACCCCTTACTTTCACACGCTTTCTTTGAGCACATCCTACCATAAAAAGTTGCTGGGAAAGTTTTCCATAAACAATTAAGCCTGCCTCTGCTCAATCTTATTTTGCGCGGTGCAGACCATAATAAAGGCACGCTTATCTAATCAAAAGCTGTTGCTGTGGAGATATAACAGGCCAAGGAATCCCTTCAATGTCATCTTGAGCTGTTAAGACAGGAGAAACATAAATTCATAAATACAATCCTGAAAACTGGTTGTGATGTCTTTCTATAACCACTAGGTGGCTATCCATCATTCTTAAACAGACCTCATCCATAATGGAGAAACATCAAAACATAGTTTGCACACTCTTGGCTACCATCAGCCCCAGAAACAGATGTGTGTTTCTATCTCCCAATCTAATCCACCGGAAGATGTTTGGTTTAAAGATGCGTGCGGATATAAGCAAATGACTACAGGGAGTCCTCAACTGACGACGACAATTGACACCCAATTTTTCTGTTACAAAAACGAGACAGTTAAATTTTGCCCCATTTGACCTATTTACAACCTAACTGCTACAGTTGTTAAGGAAATCACTGCAGTTATTAAATTAGTAACACAGTTGTTTAAAGTGAATCTTTCCCATTGACTTGGTCAGGTCGCAAAAGGCCATTGCAACTGTCATAAATAAGAACCAGTCGCCAGGTCTTTGGATTTGGATCATGTGACCATGGGGATGCTGCAAGTCATAAGTGACTTTTTTCACTGCTGTTGAAACTTCGGTCACTAAATGAACTGTTGTAAGTCCAGGTCTACAAATACTCCCATGGCTAATCACAAGCCTCTCCTATTCTTCTTCGAAAAGTAATTCGTGTAATTCAAGAATTCCAAGGCAAAACCGAAGATCCATTGAGGTCATGAGGGCTTCAGAAAGATCGAGTGGGAGGGAGTGTTTGGGATCTGTGCAAGGACATCACTCTCTGCTGCTCCATGATGAAAGCTGTCTCCTCCCGCCCCCACTTTATTGCATACATTTGTATCTGAATTCCAATTACTTTCATGAATGTATTTCTTAAAATATTGGCTTTGTTTTTGTAGGCATAAATGGAAGACTGAACAGATGGTGGATGCCTAAAGGATGCCAGCCTGCTTTATTAAAAAAAAAAAAGCAGCACAAAGATGCTGCCTCCTTGCAAGTTGCAAAGCAATTGATCTGAATCATTTTAAATGGGCATAGCTTTGAAAGGCATTGAATTTTAATATTAAAAAGACCCTCCTTGTGACCATAAAGCGACAAGGATTTCAAATTAGAAAAACACTCACAATACCTTTGGACCCTTTCATATAACACCCAATGCAGTATTACTGTCTATAGCGGGGTCTCCAACCTTGGCAACTTGAAGACTTCAGCTCCCAGAATTCCTTTGCTGGCTGAAGAATTCTGGGAGTTGAAGTCCACAAGTCTTCAAGTTGCCAAGGTTGGAGACCCCTGGTCTATATAAATGTCTATTTTTATACATAAGGCACAACTAAATACTTGCATTTAGTGCAAACAGGTGTCTGATCTATGAAATGTTTTTTTACACTGCACAGAAGGGAAACTCAGGGTGAAGAAAATAGGATTACAGCAGCTTTCAGAGACACATGGATTTTAAAATATACCATATGTATAGGTAGTCCTCAACTAAAGACCACAATTGAGCCCAAACTTTCTGTTGTTAAGTGAGACAGTTTGATTTGCCCCACTTCACTTTTGTTGCCACGGTTGTTAAGTGAATCATTAGCTGTTAATAATATGGTTAAATGAATCTGGCTTCATTCACTTTGCTTGTCAGAATGTCATAAAAGGTTCACATGACCCCAGGCACTGCAACCAACACAAATATGAGCCGATTGGCAATCTAAATTTTGATCATGTGATCACACAGATGCTGCAACGGTCAGTGTTGTGGTTGGCCGGCAGCAGGTGAGGACGGCTGAGGCCTCAGAGAGTGAGGACTCGGATGAGGGGCCTGCGTGTGATGCAGGGATGGGGCCAGGACCATCAGGGCGTAGAATGCTGCCTTCGGAGATTGTGGAGGCTGGCAGCAACGATGAAGAGGTCCCCGAGGAGCCTGTGCCCAGTGTGTGCGCGTGCAGGGCTGCTTGAAGGAAAGAGCAGCTGCAGCAGCATGGGCAACTCAGGAGTAAGGCTGCAAAGTAATGGCCCCTCCGGGAGGAGATAAAAGCCAGCTGAGAAACCGGAGTTCTTTGCAGGAAGCAAAGAAGTTCTTGCACTCAAGCCTGGATACTTCAGAGTATCTTGGTTGTTGATTGGAGACTCTTTGTGTTTGAAATATTTCTTAGTAACTTTATCTAGTGTTTTTGGCAGCCTTGCACAACCTTGGCAAGGCTCGTTCTTATCAGAGACAATTAGTTTTCATAGCCTTTTAACTGTGAATGAATGGAATTCACAGGGAAGCATTAAGAAGTTTTGCTTTTATCTCTGTTTGATGTTTGTTTCCTTGGAACAAGGTTTGGGTCAGAACAGTCAGGTGAAAAATGGTCATGTCACTTTTTTCAGTGCACTAAGTTCAAATGGTCACTAAAGGAATGGTGTAAGTCAAGGACTATCTGTACAAAACTTTCAAGACATGAATCAAAATGATTGAAAAAGAGTAAATCCTCAAAAGGCTAACATACCAGAACAATTGGATCAGTTATTCCTCATCAGATTAGATCAAGGATACAAACCTGTTTTATTTCTCAGTCTCATCAGCTTTGTCCTTGAAAGGATCCAGTGACAATAATAGGATTTCCAGGCCCACGTATTAACAGCAGGGGTTACATGGAACCATCACTTCATGTGCTTATAAACCAGCATTTAGCCATGTTTGCACCCAGAAGGGTTGCTTTGCAAAAAATGTTATCAACATGAAAGCGTCCTTCCTCAAGAGTGCCTTACTCCTAGCATATCATCCTTCAGTATTTACTTCCACAAATAAGTTGTACCTTTTATGAAGATGTACTGGAAGAAAGTCCGTAAGCCATGTTGGAAATATTTGACAGAGTTAAGCAAATAGTGAACTAGATTTGATACAAAAGGACAGATGGCTGCCTGGAGGAAGGCAAGCAAAACGAATGAGGCCTTTGATCTATCATCTTCTCTCAATCTTCAAGGGACACTTAGGAATGAAAATTATTTTGAGGGGGAAAAAAAACTTCCTTGCGTAAAATGGACCTAGCAAGTTTTCTTCAGACACCGTACTTTCATGCTGAAGATTTAAGTTACTAGAAGCACATGAAGCATGCCCATTCTCTTCACACTTAAAAGCATGCAGCTTGGATACAACATACATTATAGGTCACACTCCTTTACTCTGGGTCCCTAATAGATAAATTCAGTTTGGACAGATAACTGTCTAATCTGAGAGAATTTTAGGCTGCATAAATCCTGGTAACCACTAAATGTCAGTACAAGAGAACAGAAAATCCCAACTTGATATTTTCATTTAGAGCAGCAATTGCCAACAAGAAAATTTTGGAGGGCCGCAGAGAAATCTCACCCCCAGAGCACCCCCCAAAGCAATTAATCCAGGCTGCTCAGAAACACAAGGCTGCGCCGCCCACATGGCCCATGGGAAGCCTCCCCGCCCACTCACTCCATACCTGGCAAACTTGCCTGCTAAATTGCTATTTTTTTTTCTTTCCAACCATCATCTGTTCTGCTGTGCCGGGAGATTTAGATTAGCTAGGAAACAGGAAATGGTTGGATTTCTTGCTTTTCAGCTAGTCTTTAGGTCTTCGGCTTTGTTAAGCACAGCTGAACCTCCCTTAGGACTGAAGTTTCTGTTATTCAGTGCAGACTCACGGCAAGCAAATTTTATGTGACAGACTGAACTAGCCGATGGCAGATAGATCGATCACTGGATGATTCTGTGAGTAACTCAATCTGCCTGCCTGCTTTGCCTGATTTTGGATAAAAGTTGCTCTTTTTTATAAAAAAAATTCAATATTTATATAAATATTTATAATATTTACATACAAGCCATGCCCAGCCAGTTACAGGACCACCAAGGCACATCCACAAATTAGGCCACATCCACAGAACCAGTTAGTGGTCCCTGGGATTTAAAATTATGAGTTTGATGGTCCCTGAGGTCCAAATGGTTGGCGACCCGATTTAGAGGATGTTCCCTAAATGAACACTGGATATTGCCTTCCAGTTTGAACTACTGGTGGTAACCTCATAGAAGTATGCTGCAAGCTGGAATTTTATTGCAAAACAATACATGAACTCTTTGAAGAAACTGCCTCTTTTCTAGAAATCGCATTGGTTGTGATTAATTGAACGAAAAAAGAAAACATTTTTTTGTATCTTTGCAGCTGTTTTCACCTGATTTTAATTGCAATTAATATTTGCCTTTAAAAAAATTGCTAGCTTCACGAAAAACTGTTTAGAACAGAGAAGAAAAACATTATTACTGTTATTTATTGAAGTTGGAGGTAGACAAAGCATTGCAAAGAATTTACAATACATTTAATTTACAACATGCTCGTATTTACATTTCATTTTAAAAGGAAACAGTTATTGTTTTTTTTATTCCTGAGTTTCTCAGCATCAACAGAATTGATAAGTAAAAGGAATGGCATGCTATATTTCCAAGTCAATAGTCATATCTTATGAAGGCTTGTTTTTACCAGAGAGATGGATTATTTCAATAATGATTAACCATTTTTTATACATGTTTTTTTAAAAGAGCATATTCACAGTTACAGAAGGTTGAGTTTAGGATTCTAGATTTTTTTCATTGAAAGAACCCTGTACAGCAAAACAAATATGAAAAAAGAAAGCAGCAAATTTAGATAAAATTCAGCACACACACATGGCAGGAAGCAAACAGATTGTATGTTTTGCATGTAAAAAAGTCTGTTTTAATTAGTTTATCAAATTTCAAGCAACAAAAGTAGGAAATATTACTAGGTTAAACCCTTGGATTACCTGTGCCAGTCACAACAGGAAATACTGAACAAGAGAATCTGACTTAATCAACATAGCATCTACTCTCAGTGCATATATAATATCATCTACTCCCACTCCATGCTTTCATTTCAAAAAATGAAGGAAACCTTAAGTTGTCTTGCCTTTCTTCACTTGTTATGTACTTCTTTTTAGAACTAAATATAACTGACTACCCAATGTTTCCCCTTGAAATCAAAGTTCTATTATAGAAAAATAAAGATGTTCAGTAATTGTTTGGCAATTAGGACTATGCTGTTTCAGATTATCTCTATGTGAAGAGCTGGTTGAGGGGCTTTGGGCCACTGTGAAATACAGGAACTTGACTCTAAATTTCCAATGTTCACAGGGTCCATATTGCTAGCTGCAACTCTATGAAACTGATGCTCAATACGCACATTAGGAGTTGTTTTCCAGCTGAGTGTGAGCACACAGTGAAGGAAATTGCTGTATTTTTCAAATGAACTTTTAAAAGGAGTACCAGAAATTATGAACACATAAGTAACCTATATACTAGGAAATCTATAAAGTAGGAGGAAGAGAAGGGACTACAGAATTGTTTCTAGAGAAAGTCATGGAGGCAGAATGAAACATTCACATAATCACATAATCTCATTTATAAAGGCACTAACTTCCAAAACAAATATTCAAATATCGGCATCTGGTTCTCAACAAGTGTGCAAGGACTCAATATAGGTTAAGTACAGGCAGTCCTCAACTTATGACCATTTAATGATGGTTCAAAATTACAACAGCCTTGGAAAAGGCAATTTACAATCTGTACTTTCACTTATGACTGCTGCATCATCCCTGCAGTCATGTGATCGCAATTTATGACCTTTTTGTCAATTTCTGGCAAAAAATGCCTATTGAAAAAACCGGATCTGCTTACCGATCGTGTTGACTCACTTAATGAGGGCTGTAAAAATTATCATAACATCAGATGTGATCCAACTTACAACCAGAATGATTTATGATGGAAATTCTGATCCCAATTGTGATCGTAAGTTGAGGACTACCTGTAATTGAAGCATACCTTGAAAAATATCATAATAGAAGTGGTAAAGTATGAATCTTGGGGGAAAAGTTTTGTTTCTATTATAATAGGTTTTTTCAAGAGGGACTGCTGTAATTTATGATATAAAAAGGTTTGAGCACAACAGCTTCAAAATTCATATTAAAATGGTTGCATCTAATTTATTTAATAAAAGATTTGTACAACTATATACATATATACATATAGATAAATATAATATTTACAGTCTCTTTTCTTTACTCAGTTTTTAAGCAAACACACAACTTGAGGTTATACTACCGTTTCTTTTGAATCAGGCAATTGCAATGGCTTAAAGTTTACAACTTCTTTATATGTGATACCTGGAAAAGTTAAAGAAACACAAAAATATTCACATTAGATTCAGTATTTTAAAAAAATAATAATTCAAAATTTAGTAAGACAGTGCAGTAATTCAGATTTGGGAGAAGGAGAAAAGTGATCTGGAGCTTGGTGCAGGCAAGCATGTCACATTTGTTAACTAAAATTGTTTATCTTTTCCTGAGATCTCATAAGTGTATTATTAAGTGCATTAACCAATGTCATCAGTAGCTTACAGTTTGAGGTCTCCCATTTAGCTATAGATGAACTTTTAAAACACTATTTATGTCATTCAATTTTAAAATGCCAGCAGCAACAAATTAACCTCATTATATATAACATTTTGAATGTTGGGCTCAATTTTGTAAATTTGAATTGGCCCAATTAAGGGTTACATGTACATAGAGGGTTGATGATGGTAGCTTTTCCAATTATATATTTCAGGTATTTTAAACATCCAATAACTAGAAACCCAAAAGAATGCAGTTTCCCATCCTCTTCCTTCACTGATTCTCAGAAAAAGACCCAGTTTGATCTTACTACAGTACTTTAAAAGCCACCTGATACACAAAGTAGTTGATGATTTTCATGGTATGGAAGTCTATAGCTTGCACACATAGCCTTGTAAGATTCTGAAAGAATTTAGCCACCTTAATGACCATGAGCGTCTGATTAAAACACAAGGACAGAAAAAAATCTCCCCAGTTAATCCCCGTAATGCAACATTTACAGAATGCTGTCAGCAAATAATATTTTTCCCTCATGATAAGGGCAGTTTTAGTAATTACTATTAAATTTATACCACGCTATTCCTGCTTATAGAAGCTTTCATAGCTATTTACATTTCTCCATGCTGTACTCTCGTTTCTTGTCCATCCATGTGTATTCAAGTCTATTGTAGAACTGAGCATAGAAAAGACATTTGTCTAAGAGTTTAGAAAATTGGAGGAGAGGAAATAATATAGGTCAAAAAGACAGAATGGAACAGCAAGGACAAAGAAGTATTTCTATGTGCCTTATTTAATGCAGCAGATTCCTCAGTTCCCATGAATTATATTTTAATTAAAATGTGTAAAAATCTATTTGAAGAATGTAGATAAAGTTTCCTACACCAATCTCATTGTCATTAGAAAACTGCTATTCAACACAACAATTCCAAACATACACTTCCATTCATCCAGGGGCAGATCCATGTTGTCAAAAGTGTCATCATATTTCTCTGCTTGGTTTTCCTCGTCAGGATCATGAATGGTTTCAAAATAAGAATGTGCCAAAGCTTCACTTGCTGTTATTCTCTTCTCTGGATCTAACACCAGCATCTTTTCCAAAAGGTTCACAGCTGGATCAAACAAATCAGAAAGGAAGTTTAAGGACAAACACTCTGGAAATAGATGAAGCGTGTACTTAATATTTTGTGTTAAGTTCTGCATCTTTTAGGGCAGAGGTGTCAAACTTGGGGGGCCAAGAGACACGCATTAGCCACGCCCACCTGTTTTAGCATAGGGGGGAAAGGCGAAATATGTCACATGACAACGTGATGGTGCGGTTTGACCCCCCTGTTCTAGATATCATATAGTTGAACAGACGCTCAAAGAACTGTAATTTATAATAAAGTGCATCTAGCAGGAAAAGCTGACCTTTATTAGCCAGATAATCCGACAATTATGAAGAAATCATTGAGAAAATAATTCTACAATGAAATTTTCACAGGGCACCCCCCGCCCAAAAAAAAAATCCTGAAAGTTTTTGTAATAAAATAGAAGATAAGTCAGCCTGTTTACTATCCTGATAAATTTTCTAATATACTACATCCACCAATATTTAACTTACCTGAAGCATTTGCATTTTTCAAAATGGCAGCAAAATCTTTTTTCTGTACTTGTGGAAGTTTTTTGATGTAATTTTTTGCCTTAAAATGAATAGATACAAAAATTACTGGATATTAATTGTTTATGAATTCAGGAAATGAAACAAAGAAAAAAGAAATTGGAGGCCATCAAACTGGGTTATTCCTGGTGAATATATGGGAAAAAAATCCATTTATGGAATACATGGACAAATTACATACGAGTTCACCTTGGACCTGAAATTCCTAAATTAGTTCATACCAATTTGCCTACTTTCAATAATTTCTATAGTTTAAGATAATTTGATTTTGTTTTCTCAGATCCCAGATGCAGGCAAATCATAAATCTTGCAAATGGGTACACACACACACTACACAAGTAAAGGTTTCCCTTTTCCAGTTATGTCCTATTCTAGGGGTCGGTGCTCATTTCTGTTTCTTAGCTGAGGGAGCCAGCATTGTCCAAAGACACTTCTGTGGTCATGTGGTCAGCACGACTATACACTGAGGTGCACAGAAGGCTGTTATCTTCCCACCAAAGTGGTACCTATTTATCTATTCACATTTTGCATACTTTCAAACTGCTAAGTGGGCAGGGGATCGTAGAAGTAACAGGAGCTCACTCTGTCACAAGGTGCTCAGATCTCAAATCCAGGCTGTCAGGTTTGCAGCTGACAAGTTCAGAATTTTAAACCGCTGAGCCACCACCTCTCCTACGTATATCTATACACACAAAACCAGCTCCTGTGTTATATTCAGAGTTGGCTATAATAAATGAATTAAAATTTGGCAGAAATTGTTCTCTTTGCAAACAGGACTGAAACAGATAACCTGCCTTTCAAGGATATTAGAGCTTCTGATTGGCTTACTACAGAAAAGCTTATAAGGCTGTGACAAAAGGAAGTGCTATGTACAGGTGGTTCTCCAACTTACAACCATTCATTTAGGGAACCTTTGAAGTTACAACGGCGTTGGAAAAGTGATTTACAACAACTGAACCTTGCACTTACATAGCAACATCTCCATGGTCACTTGATCAAAATTTGGGCCCTTGGCAATTGGCATGCATTTTTGACAGTCGCATTACTCAGAAGCCATGTGATTGCCACTTGCAACTTTTAGAGATGGCTTCCGACAAGCAGAGTCAATGTGGGAGGCCAGATTCACTTAACAACTGGGTTATTATCTTAACAACCACAAGTGATCCACTTAACAAAAAGGTTGTAAAACTGGGCACAGCTCACTTAACAATTTGCTTAACAACATAAATCCTGGACTCAGTTGTGGTCATAAGTCAAGGATTACCTGTAAACAACGTAAATCCAATTTGTAGTGAAATCAAGTTTTACATTCTTGCGCCTTTTACTTTTGTCTATGTGATTTTTAATTATAATTAATCAAATTTATATAGCTATCCATCTCATCAGAAGTGAGGTCAGAAGGCTCTATTGGACAGGATAAACAGTTTCCACCTATCTCTTTCTTTGATTTCAGATCATTTTCTTGTGATCAAGTGAAAATTTGTTCTCACATCAAGCCTACCTCACATGGAAAGGGGAAGTTCAGCAACGTCTTAAGGGTAAAAGAATAACAATAATTAATTTAAAGTTTTAAACACAAGGTATCTGAAATATTTCTTTTTAAAAATTAGAACCATATAAAATTTCCTATGATGTATAGCTTTTAAGATAGCAATCATTTATATTAATGGGGTATGGACGACTGTGAATAAAAAAGTGTATTAAAAAAACCCCAAAATCTCGAAATAGAACTAGTACACTTAAGTTCCACAGAGCCATCTATTTCTGAACCTGCTCATGTAAATTTGGCAAAAGCAGCAACTTACATCTTGGCTTTGTAGTTTCTGAACAAAATCCTGAGTTGGTGTGCCTGTAACTTTCATAATTTCTGTAAGCTGGTCCAGATCTGAATGTCAAAGTCAGGAATCAAATATTTAGTCAGCGTGTTATTAAAAAAATGATATAATTAACCTATTTTTCTTACTGTTGAAATCAAAGCATATAACATTTATATTTCATATACATTTTCATAACTACCAGCAGTTGGCTAGGAATTAACAACTAAAAGGATACCCCTCAAACAATCATTAATGGGTCATCTTCACTTTTGTTTTTTTTAGCCACACTTTTGGTCATCTCATTGAGTGTTTTCAGGCTTTCGTACCTACATTAAAATTTTAGATTTCTTTCTTTGTTAAACTAGTATCAATGATCTCAGCTTCTAAATTTTGAAGATAAAAAGCTATGTTTGTCTTTAAACACTGATTCTTCATAACTCATTTTGAGCCTCTAAAAATGTCCGTGACAGTAAAAAAAAAAAAAGCAGCTCAAAGGTTAGCTGCATCAACATATATAAACTAAACTAGAATGCAATTCTATATGCCAAATGTTGGAATAAAAAATGTGACTTTCAACCAGCATTTAATTAAATTTAATCAAAATAGAGCCTTGGAGGAGCAGTAGTTAAAATGGAGTATTGCAGGCAATCTTTGCCCACAGCCTGGAGTTCATAGCTAGACTCTTCCACCCTTGCAAGATTGGTAAAATGAAGACTCAGATTGTTGGGTGCAATATGCTTCTTCATTGTAAACTGCCCAGAGTGCTGTAAAGTGCTGTGGGATGGTATATAATCCCAAAGGCTATTTCTATTGCATTGAGCTGTGACAAACTATTCATCTTGCAACTTTCTGACAAAGCTACAGGCCTCTAAAGCTGGCTTGATGTTTGCAAGTAAATAGTTCAAACTGAACATTTTTCACTTGAAGTGATTACGCAGTGGCTTACTTTGATACCTGAATGTTTGCATATTTCTCCAACTTAATGTGAAACATTCATCAAGAAAGGATACGATCATTGCCCTTGAAAAGGGGCCTTCCCGTTACCATCTCAGCCATTATACACCCCACCGACCAGATATCCACTGAAACACAAAAAAATGCACCCATTAAATTGGTGTGAGCAGCATCTAAATTCAGCTCATCAATCAACAAAACCTTTAAAAAGAAAGCAACAGCACAAAATCAGGGTTTTGTGATTTGTAACTGAAAATGTTGCATTCTATTTCTGTAATTTCAATGGATCATTGAATGTTTTTTTAGAATGCTGAGCTACAGGTATCTTCTTCCTTTCAAAGTTTCTGTTCTTTAGCATTGATGAAGCAGCTAGGTGTGATCCAAATCAAAGCTATCTGTTGTGCCAGCTCTTTATTACATTTTAAATTTTCATGTAAGGAGCTCAGCGTGATATAGTATCATTGCCATTTTATCCACTCATAAATCTTATGTTAGACTGGGGGAAAAAAAAATCAGCTCCAGTGAGTTCTATGAATCAGTGGACTATTATTTAAAAATAAAAATAAAACTTCTGTAGTTGGCTTATTATTGAGACATGGGTTTTCTGGAAGCACCAGCCTCCCTTGTCAGAAGTGCAATCAGTAGTAAATAATAATTAAATAATTAATATAGTAATTAATACTCAAAATTAGCACAGAGAAAATAATTGTTGTTCTAAGTCTGCAAGAGAGGAGGAGGAGGAGGGGGAAATTGTGGGAGATGATCTTAGGTAATCACAATGATGATCTGACATAGGAAGACATCTATGAAAGGCAATACAGGTAGTTTTCATTTAATGATGATAATTGGGCTGCAGGATGTGTGATGGTTTGTGAGAGGCAACATGATAGGGGGGTGGGGGTGGGGTGGCTGCTCCAGAAGGAGGGACTGGAACTTTTGCTTATGGATCTTTGCTTTGGGGAAGCCAGCAAGGAAGGTTGCAAATGGCAATCATGTGACTGCGGAATACTGCAACCGTTGTAACTGCAAGCCAGTTGCCCAGGTTGCAAATCACATGAGCGCACGGATGCCGGGACCTGAGAAAACTTTCAGAATCGGTTGTAAGGCTCCTTTTTCGGCGCTACTGTACCTTCAAATGGTCGCTGAACAAATGATTGGCAAACAAAGAGTACTTGTAGCAGAGTTTTCAGGAGCTACCTATGGCTACTTGGCTTCCAAGTCCCTGTAGTAAGGGGCCAATGTTAAGAATGGCTGAATAGGAAAACCAGACAAGTGAAGTCAGACATTGCAGAAAGGGCAAAGCCTGGAAACCCAAGAGTTTCAGAAACCTACCTGATGTCCTGCAGATGACTAGAACCAACAGGTTTCCCCCTAGAAATGTTATAGAAATTAATATGCAAACATCTACACTACCTGTTGTTAAATTTTTTGCAATGTTATTCAGTGTCTCTGTAAATAAAACTGAGTTTTTCAGTTGGTCTACAAAGAGATCACAAGGTGGTTTTTATAAAGCTGCCACTCTTTTGCAATAGAAGTAATGAAATTATATAATTAGTGGTTACAGAAACCCCGGCGCAGAAAAGCAGTTTCTAGCAAATACAAAAATTACCTGTTTGTGTATAATGCATCCAATTAAGTATAACTTCTGGGGCTCGATACCACCTAGTAACCACATAGCCAGTCATCTCACTATCTGTATGTCTTGCCAGCCCAAAATCTAAAATCTGTTTTAGAGGAAGACAAAATATAATAAACTTTCATTTCTGGAATTGTCATAAAAGCCTTGAATTGGAATGAGATTTGTTCACGTTAGAAAATATCCTAAACATTGCTCTAAAAATGTTTCCTATTCCCTTGAAAATAGCTAAAAGAGATCCCTAACAGGCTACATTACATTTCTGTCACACTACTAAAATACTTATTTCTCATATCCCAATATTTTCTCATCACTTCCATTCAACTTACATTATCCAAATAATTGATTTCAATGAAATGATACCCTTATTTTAGAGGAATGCAAATTGCTATTTGGATTTTGTAGCTTTGTTCATATTAAATAGCATTTTTGCAAGTAAAGGATTAGAATCTCAAAGGCCTATTCATTACACGCTATTTATTCAAGCATCATAAACACAAGTTCAACATGTTACATTTTTCCTGACAGTAGTAAGTGGAAATCTCAGTTCACCTGAATTATGTTTTATGTTATATAATCGTAAAGGCAGAAAACTGAAACCACGTGAATTCAGTTTATTATTCATCTATTCATAGCTACTGATAAAGCTTTGAGTTTACTTTAGGCCGTGACAGTGTAGCTGGCAGAAACACATTTTCTTCCCTCCAAAATGCCACGCAAAGAAAAGGTCAAAGACCTCTGGCGTTACGTAGAATTCAGGGATACTATGCCCAAAGTTAATGGAAGTACAATTTGAAAATCAATCTCATTACTCATTACTACATGTACCAACATGTGGATCCAACTCAATGCAATTTTTAAAAATGCAATAGTGTGGGTCGTTAAGCAGACTGCAGGGGCTTGGGCTTCCAGGGCATGGTGGAGACAGAAGGCGGCCCAGGCCAGGGAGAACGGTCACGAGAAGGCTAATGTTTTGCCAGATTTGAGGACCATTGCTCCAGTGTGTGGAAGGCTTTTTCCTCCCTGCATAGAGGGAGGGAAAGTCCCTTTGTACATTAGGGGAATGGACCTAAAATGACTTAACTAAAATAACTAAACTAAACTTAAATAACTTAACTAAATAACTAAAATAACATAACTTCCATTTGCAAACTTTTCTGATTCACTTTCTGGATATCAGACACAAACAACTAGATACACACATGCAGAGTTTGAATTAACTACTTTATTATGTTCTGTCTGCAATATAGGAATCTCCTCAGTCTAGCAGCCTACTCTTGGGAACCTGTTGTGGTTAGCCGGCAGCAGGTGCGGATGGCTGAGGAGAGCGAGGACACAGGTGAGGGGCCAGGACCATTAGGGAGTGGACTGCTGCCTTCAGAGATTGTGGGGGCTAGCAGCAGCAATGAGGAGATTCCCGAGGAGCCTGTGCCAAGTGAGCGCAGGATTGCTCTCAGGAAAGAGCAGCTACAACAGCACGGGAGACTCGGGAGTAAGGCTGCAAGGTAATGGCCCCTCCTTCAAGATAAAAGCCAGCTGTGAAACGAACATTCTTTGCAGAAGGCAAAGACGTTTTGAAACTCCAGCCTCGTGGACATTCCAGTATCCTGAGTTTGTATTTGAAGATTCTTGTACTGCAAATTATTTCTTGTCTGTTATCTTTTGGCAAGTCTCGCACAGTTTGGCAAGGCTTGTGCTTATCACAGCTAATTATTTTGCAGAAGCATTAAAAGGTTTCTGTTCCCTTTGGATTGTGTTTGATTTGTTGGAAAAGGGCATGGGTCAGAACAGAACCATCCAAGAAACTCAGGGAGGGTCGACCCTTTTGTGGTCGTGCAGTGATTCCAGGCTAGCTCTCAGCTTGATCTCCCATTGTCATGCTGGGTGCTTCCCAACATTGGGGAAGCTGGAAGAGAAAACTGTAAATGGCGATCACGATTTCAGAACATTTGGCAACTGGTTGTAAATGTGAACAGGTTGTCAAGCGCTCAAAATGCAATCATGCGACGGGGAAGCAGTGTGACATTTTATTATGGCAGGAAGCGCTTTATGATCTCTAAAGCATCAATTTCAAGGCTGTAATGACTGAGCAGTCATTAAATAACTAGCCATAGATTGGGGACTACCTGTAATTGCTTTCTTATATTAAAGTTGCAATTTAACAGTTGGCAGCTAAGAAGCTTTGCATACTTTCAGAGGATTTTGCTACAAGATTTCCATGAAAATACTCAACATCAAAACCTATTTTATTCCTCTTTTTCTGTTGGAATAGTTTTTTAAAACAGTATACCTATTTAAGCACAGCCATGATGCTCTAACAAAACTTAAGCAATGTATGTTGCCTTAATGTGCTGTCTTAGGGATTATTAGAAATATTAGAAATTAGAAATACTGTTAGAAATATTGTCTGTTTGGCATGAATTCATACAAATCTTGAACTCAATAACCAGCTATAATTGTAACATGAAGATCATACTGAACTGCTTGTAGTTTCAGCCAATCCATACTAACAATATCAACTCAAAAATAACTTAATTTTTGAAGCTTTTTACATGAACCCCATCAACAGAGCCTTTATTAAGATGCTCACTTGTCTAAAGGAAAGCCTTACAAAAGCCTTAGATTGTCCACTCAGCATTTTATTCCCATTACCCCAATCCAGGAGTGCATGCCATGTTTCCAGCTTGTATCTTATTTTCCACAGCTTAATTAAAGATACCTTTTAAATGGCCTTCTGGAGAAGAAAAAGACTTGATTCTGCTTCTTACAAACAATGGGATAAAATCCAATAATTATCTATGAAAACATTCAAGCTTAAGCTTCTGGAAAAATGTTAACAAACTTCTTTTACAAGCAATCATCTTTACACAGTGTGCAATGTTGCAGAGTCTACCCTTAGTAAGGAAATCTGCAGTTAATCCAGGCACACAGACATTAACAGTCTGTTACTTCACACAAAAGTGCTACAGACTGCAACCTGTTCTCATTTTTAAAATGCTTTTCGCATTAGCTATATCTGACATAATTCCAGATTCCCCAGTATTTACTTTTGAAAAAGCCACTAGCACATTCAGTTTCTTACCTTCAACTCACAGTTCTCATTAACTGCTAGGTTTCCAGGTTTTAAATCCTATAAAGATGTTTAAAACAAGAAATCTGAAACTGAATTTATTTGTAATTGGAAGTATTTATTTCAAAGGCAGGCAATTTTTTTAATTGTTCAAGACAAACAACAGCCCAGAATGCAAATGGGCTAATGTGTTGCCAAATATGAACATAGGGACAGATACTGAAGAGATCAGAAGCTTCTTTGGCAGTGACTGAATAATTACAGAAGCCAAGGGAGCAAGCAAAGTATTTTTAAAAATCCAAACTCAAACAGGTGTATGCATGTATATTACTATAACATTTCCACTGAGCATATTACAAGCATCCAAACATCCTGATCTCCTTTTAATCAATCACAAAGGAAACCTGTACTATTCATTGCATTTATACTGAATTGGAAATGTTATTGTAATAATTCCTGAAGGATACAGTTTAATTTGCATTTAAGCTGTGACTTTGCAAACAGTACATCAAAGAACCCAAGGAATACATTATCAAGTTCTCATTAAAATAGCAAAGACTTTTTCAAAGAGGTATTGTAGGTATCAATAATTGAAACTGTGCAATAAATATTATCTTTCTTTGTATATTTCAGTATAAAAGTTCAGTATAAAAATCCCAAGTATTATATATGGATATGTGATTGAAGAGAATGTTTCTACAAGAATAATTAAATTGATCAAAAAGGAAAGCTTGAAGAGTTTTACTTACTCTATGAATTATGCCAGATGAATGGATATACTGTGGAAAGAAACAAAAAATATTTTACTCAGTTGCTATCAATGAAATTTTTATTGTTGTTCCAAAGCTTTGCAAGACAATGGCAAAAACAATCCATAGGGAACCACTGGAATGCAAACAGTCATCTTCATCCTGATCTAACTTTCCTTTTTAGGGGTTTAGAAAAGGTCTTCTGCTAAGCAAAACATCAAATTGTAATTTTGTCTATATTTTTCAGATATACCTCTGGGCCCCACAAAACCTCTTTATAGTTCTTAGGATTAAAAAATGTTTGGTGTCTTCAATGGTGCACTTTGCACTGTTAATGGATAAAGGTAATCTGAGGCAATAATGAGCATCTTGCAAGATTAAGAGTGTAAGACACAGAACTGTTCAATCTGTCTGCTTTCTCATAAATGCTATTTTGTGACATGAATGCGCCCGCTATAACATTTGTTAGGTGAATGGGCAAGAATTCACAAGAAGCAGCCATTTTGTCAGCATCCGTGACAAGGTTTTGAAAGTAAAATTTGTCTTTCAATTCAAAAAGACCTTACTTCCTGTACTTTAGCTGTGTTTTATGGAAGTTTCAATCCAGCCAACCTAGAAATCAATCTTTGTTTAAGTTGCCAGAAACCAGATATCTAGATTGAGAAACATATGAATGGAAAAATCAGAATTCTTCTATAAAACCAGGCACTACAAAATTCAGAATTCTTCTACAAAACCAGTTAACAAGGTTGACTCAGCCTTCCAAGGTGGGTAAAATGAGGACCCAGACTGTTGGGGGCAATAGGCTGAGTCTGTAAACCGCCTAGAGAGAGCCGTAAAAGCACTGTGAAGCAGTATATAAGCCTACCTGCTACTGCTATTATTTCTCTGCTACAGACCAACACTTCACCTTACCTACATATGTAGGAAACCAGTCTTTTGAACTATGGCTCAAGACCAATTGTCTACCCTTCTTCTCTGCAAGCACTAAACATCCAGATAAAATGAATTTGCAAAACAGAGTTTGGATGGTGCTTTTGTATACTACAGCTCTTTTGGGGTCCAATTTCTGTCCTTGTCTCATTTTAACAGATGGCATTGCCATCGCTATGGGGTTCCCAAACTAGAGCCTTCAGCCATTTTAATCTTAGACTTCTTCTTCCTACTATAATATTAGCAGGGAAGAAATATTTGAAACCTTAGCATGAGCCCTTACATTTGCACAACATATTCACAGTATATTTTACGTAGAAGAAATGAATGACTAGTCCTCCAAGTCAGAAATATTTGGAAATATTCTTAGGTAAGCAAAGCTTCCTAAGAAGCTAACAAGGAACAGGAAAAAGCAGTGATTTCTGCTGGAGATTCTGTAATGTAGTGATGAATGTGATGGACTAGGAACCGAGAAGGCAGAGATTCAAGATCCACCTGAGCCATGAAAGCTAAACAGGATGATTTAGAATCACTCTCACAATTCATATATCTCATGGGTTGTTGTTATGGGAAGATAAATGCTCTCTATGTCCTCAAAATTGTAGAGGAAAGGTAGGAAATCAAATAAATAAATATATGAAATCATCCTTGATCCTCTCCTGATAGTATTCCAACATCAACTGTCCCATTTCTTTTTTAAAAAAAAAAATAGTTTCCATTTCTTGTTGACATAATAGGCAGTTTAAACAAACATGAAAAATAGCCAGGTACAATATTTAGGCCTTTCCATTCTCCCTGCACCTGGGCCAGATTGCGCATAGCAACTGAGATAGCTTTCTGGCTTAAAAAAACAGAGCACTACACGAGGCCCATGGTAATCAAAGGCCATTATTGTTTTCCTTCCTTGTTTTGCAGTAAATTCATCCGTGCCGAGGCCTAAGCCTGACCACAACATTCCAGTCCATTCCATTCTCCTCTCTACTCCATTCTCTCCTACTTTATCCCTATCCCTCATCCCTACTCTATTCTTCCCTTCCTTTCTCCTTCCCTCCACAAAAAAGGGAGAGATAATTTATCATTAAGTCCAAATCTAGAAGGGTAACTGATTGCTCCCAAATAAAGTCAGCTTCTTCAAAACAATTTTATAACATGTTTTAAAGGATGGTTAGAGAGCTTGGATATTTTAGGAGCAAAACTTAACCCCAGCCTCAGACACACCATGAAGCAGTTTATTTTGATTTGCTAGGATTCCTCATTTTTCCTGAATAGTATGAATAAAGTCCATGGACTAAACGGAATCTTCACACTTACCTTCCAATTAATTAGATTTGGAACTAAGAGAAGCTAGAAGAGTTTTGTGCAAATAAACAAGCTAAAAGGATTTAAAACACAAGTCCTGATAAAGAGAAAGGTTCAACGAAAATGTAACATAAGAATCGAAATTCCTTCAGAGTAAGGATTTGTAAAAACACATTCTAATTTCAAATTCCATCGGTCAATGAATATGTAATTTTACACTATACTGAATTTTACACTATTTTACACTATCAAGTGGATTAGAAACTTGCATAAGGAGGTTCCTTATGTATTTTTTTTTCTTCCATTCAATTGTGATTATCTGATTATCAAAGGCTGCCTTGACACATTCTTGCAGTTTTCTTGTGGCAAGGGTTTTCTGAAGTGGTTTGCCAGGGCTGAAAATAACAGGCCCAAAGTTACCTGGCTGGCATCGTGCCTAAGGCAGGACTAGAACTCACGGCCTCCTGGTTTATAGCACGATGCCTTAACTGCTACTTATCATAGGAAAGGACATATTGTGTCTCAAGAAAATGATGACAAAAACCAACAAGCAATTAAAAGAGAAAGAGCTAACCTTCAGGCCCTTTAGCATCTGGTAAACCAGGAACTGGATCCTATCTTCAGTTAGTTTCTCATGCTTCATTATTTTACTGAGGTCTGTTCCTATAAATGGCATGACAAGGTAGCTAAAATGAAAAGGCAATTAAACATGAACTGAATCAAATTCTATAGTCTAATTGTAATACTGTAGAGCAATTTAACATGGAAAGGCATGCCAGACTATGTATAGTTCAGTTAGAAGATATCAGGACAGTATAGAGAAAGAACAAATAAATCTATCTTTAAATATGAACATTACATTGGAGTACAGATAGTCCTCTACTCACAATGAAACTTGAGCCCAAATTTTTAATTGCTAAGCAAGACAGTTGCTACCTGAATTTTGCCACAATTGTTAAGTGAATCACTGCAGTTGTTAAGTTAATAACACGGTTGTTAAAGGAATCTGGCTTCCCCATTGACTTTGCTTGTCAGAAAGTTGCAAAAGTGGAGCACATGTCCTGGGACACTGCAACCATCATAAATACATGCCAGTTGCCAATCAATCAAATTTTAATCACGTGACCATGGGGATGCTGCAATGGTTCTAAGCGTGAAAAATGGTCATGTCCCTTTTTTTCGGGACTGTTGTAACTAAACAAATGGTTGTAAGGCAGGAATTATCTATATAATAAAAAGGTCAATGTAAAAAGAAGTGCCTTGAAACCTTTCCTAAAATTCTAGAGAACTGGGGGCAAAACTCTTTTCTACGTATAGTAAGTTACCAAGGTTGAGAACAAGATAGAATTTACTTTGGATTATAAAATAACCATATAAAAATTGATCCTATTTTCCAGTAAGCATTGTGTTATATAAAGGTTTTCTGTTCTTTTTTTTTTAACTGAACACCACACATGGTTTAGGCTTTAGAACCGCGATGGCGAACCTATAGCATGTGTGCCGGAAGTGGCATGCAGAGCCCCGCCGGCACACAAGAGGTCGCCCGGAAGAGCCCTAATGTGCATGTGTGCACCACCCGCATGACAGCAGATTGCTGGGTATCTGGCGTGTATACGAGAGTGTGCGTGGGAGACACATGCACATGTGCATAGATGCATGAGGTGCACGGGGGGGTCTCACGTGCATGCACAGAAACATGCAGCATGCGTGGGGGGGTCATGTGCGCATGCGCAGATGCATGGCCCATGGGGGATCACGTGTGCATGCACAGAGATGTGTGGTGTGCGGGGGGGTCACACACGCATGTGCATGGGGGGCGTGCACATTGCCTTCTGGCTGCTGGTATGTGAGCACCCACACACGAGTGCGCATGCAATTTTCAGCATGGGAACCCAAAAAGGTTGGCCTCCACTGCTTTAGAACAATAAACGTTGATTGATAACATTATCTACAGTTGGCATAGTTTTATACTAGTACATAAAACTGGGCTGAGCTAGAGGATGCAGGTTGCAAAACTACTCTTTTGATCCTTCCATCATCCAGAAATAGATTTATCAAGAAGGCAAACCAGAAACCAGGATGAGTGGGGATGACTGAGCACCTCATACACACACACACACACACACACAGGTAAAGCAGTCCTTCAAATCCACATTTCCAACATAAAACGAAGCTTGTCTATATATGAATTTGGTCTATGTCAGGATTTTTAAAAAAATATTTATTTATTGAATCAAGTTTTATAGCCATCTATCTCATAAACAAGTGACTTTGGTCAGCATACTACAGGGTTAAAAAAGTTAATACATTTTTAAAAAATTATTAAAATAAAAATAAAACAAAGTAGCAGATGAGGTTGTTAGTTTAGTGAAACCAGCCAGGCAGAAAAGCAAATTAACCAAAGCCTGATTTGTTTTCTTCCTTTCCTTCAAATAATACATTTTGGAGAGAGTATCAAAGCAAATCAGGAATTAACTATGATCTGTGGTTCAGCAATATCCAAAACTAAAAGTAATCAGGCTTCATAAACCAAGAAGCATGGTAGCTTTTCTGTGGTATGTTCCAAAACAATATTATTTTATGACATATGTTTTTTTATACGCAAGGCCAATATCTGTAAGATGCCATCAAGTCAATGCTGACTCTTAGTGACCATGGAAATAAATTTCCTCCAGGAAAATGTTGCTTATAAGCATAAGGACATAAAGCTGAACTAAATAGTTTAGCTTATTGTTGAGTGATCTAATTTTTTTTAAAAAAGCAGAACTATTTCTTGGGGTAGGGATCCACAGGACCATAGACAACAATGCATACTTCCTAGAGGCAGACAATGTAAGTAATTTCCATATTGCTATCAAGAAAGTCAATTGGAGATCATCCTATTGCCTGTCAATAGCATTTTTAATGCTGTAAACTGCCCAGAGTCACCATGTGTGAGTTGGGTAGCCATATAAATGTCTTAAATAAATAATCAATCAATCAATCAATCAAAGGAGAGGCACAAGTATGCTATTAATACTAAGACTGATAAAAAGATGTAAAATACTTAGAAGGACCAAGACTTGGGGGCTTTGGAACAGAACAGAGTGAGAAGCTTGGCACATGGAGAAGTATTATCTTGCTTGCCAGAAGAAATAAAATATCATTAATTAAATTCAAAGGAAAACAGTGAAATTTGCAGAAAACTGATTTTAAAAAAGGGGCCAAAAAAGCTTCTAGGGACTATATTTAGTGCAAGGGAAAAAGCAGAGCTTTCTGATTAAAAAACAAACAAAAAGCAGGATAAACAAAGAACCAGCCCTGGAGTGCTGACAATTGTTGAATAATGAAACGCTGATGTGTGCCTTCCTCCATGATTTTATTATGGCTAATGTGCCACAGCTTGTGAATATTGCAAAGCTGCCGAATAGCTCGCAAGCTATTCCAACAATATAGGTAACTAATGACAAAAATAATGGTTGAAGTAACTTAATAACTGTAGGCTTTTTACACTAATACATGTATGGTAGATATTACTGTATTCACATGTAATAGGAAAACGTAGGACTTTAAATACAGGGTTAAAAGCTGACAAATACGTGCAAAAATTCAATACTAATTTAAAGCAGAAGAGGGGAAAATAAACTATTTATGGAAGCAATTGCACAAACCTAAGTAACTAATAAAAGTTTAACAGACTTCTCCAGCTAGATATGGAGGGAGAAATTACATATTTTTATTTTTTGTACAAATAGCTTAAACTTCCCAAGTGTTCCACAGTATAGCATCCATCGGTCTCAGCCGTTTTATATGTTGATTGAATACAACAGAAACTGTGGATCAACACCTGGCTACTGTCAAGTAGAAAAAGCTGCTTTAGCCAATCTACTATTTAATAAATAACCACATCTTCCAATACTTAATTATAAATAATCAGCAAACGTTTTTTAAAAAAAATTCAGATATTTAACTGGCCTGATAAAACCAAAAAGTAGCACATAAACCTAACAAACTAATAATCGAACTACTTTTAGAATAAGACATAATTAATTCCATCAGCAATATTTACGCCACTGGAAAACAAAACGAGCATTAATGTGCTGGTTTATATTTTATTTGGAAGATATGGTCTAAATGTCCTCTGGCTTTATTTACTGAAATCTTAACTATTAAAACTAGAAAGTTCTTTCAGAAGTTTCATTTTCTACTTAACGCTATAAAGACGTAACATCTATCTTTAAGCTCAGTTGTGTAAAGATATAGATCAGTGGTCTTCAAACTTGACAGGTTAAAGACTTGTGGACTTCAATTCCCAGAATTCCTCCTCCAGTTATGTTGGCTCAGGAATTCCGGGAGTTGAAGCCCACAAGTCTTAATGCTGTCAAGTTTGAAGACCCTTGATATAGATGGTTGTGATGTCATTTTATTTTATATATAGTCATGTGATTCTTACAGCATAATGACAATGCTCACCAACAATTAATGTATCCTAATACGAAGAACCAGATTCCAAACTGATCCAGTTAACTCCAAAGCAAGCTTAACCAAGAACAGGGGTGGGCCACTAATTTTCCCAAGGGGCCACATGAGAAACTGGGAATGCACCACCCTCTGCAGATGCTACACAGGTATCCTGTCCCCAACGCACACACGCTGACATTGCTGAAGCCCTGTTCTCCCCCTGACGCCAATGCCATATACCAGACTGGGACTGCCCGCGAACCGGAAAATCTGGTCTGCAAGAAGCAACAATAATTCCATCAATATAAATACAGAGAAATTTGAGATCGGCATCTATTTTACTGTAAATCATAACACAGAAGCCAAAGTTTTCCCCAAAATTATACACTTACAAGTCATTAAATTTATCCAGTGAAGGATCTGGTGTGAAGACATCTAAAAGCCCAATTACCTACAGAAGAAGAGAAACACAAGTAAGAAAATAGTGCCATTGCAATTATTGGCATGAGAAACATGCAAGTCTAGTTCCATGTCCAATTCAAAGGGTTGATTATGATCTTTAAAGCCCTAGAGGTCAGGTTACCCATGGAACTGTCTTTATCCCATCAGCCTGACCCACTTGATCCCACAGGAAGATATGCTGCAGATCCCCATCAGTTAATGAGTGACTTGGTGAGGTCCAAAAAGAGAGCTTTCTCTGCCTCCCCCCCCGCCCCCCGTGAAAGCCTACGCACCCCCAGAGGTGAGGTGAGTCCCCACTCTCTTGGCCTTTCATAAAGGTGTTAAAAACACGGATCTGCACCTTTTCTTGCACCAATGAAAGGGAGGGTTGGTGCCCTGACAGCCTCCCACCTTTTTAATCAATTGGTTCCCTTGCCCGTTTTAAATCTGACATAATTTTATATGTTTTTAATACTTTATTGTACACCTCCCAGAATCGCTTTGTGAAGGAGATGGAAGGTTCTTAAATATGACAAATAATTAGTGAATTCAGGGTGTGTTTTGCTGTGTAGGGAAATGGTATGCTATATGTTTAGTATACTATATCTTGCATGCATATCATGTATACAGGTTGGATCTGAGCAACTGAGAGCAAATTGCAGAACTGAGATTTCCCATCTCTTGAACTCCTCTAAAAACACTCTGGAAGTTAGAAAAACTTCATATGAAGAAAGATGTCAATGGAGATCATATTTCTTTTTCCACTGTTTTGTTTCTGAGAATGTCTCCTTGGATCAGAAAAGACCTGAAGCTTCCTCTGTGCATCTTCAGAGATTCCTCTACTATAATTGTATCTACTCAAACTGACACCATTTTGAGGTAGGCAAGAGAAGGAAATAATCTTAAAAGATTTATCACAATTAAAAAATAAAAAATTCTCACTATATTGCTCTACCTAAGTTTTGTTCACAAGGAAGATGTAAAGCTCTTGTAGACATCATTTGTGCAAAAAAAATTAACTGTGATTCTTCACCACTAAAAGCTTTCTACATTTTTTAGATTTGGTTTAGCAACACAGCATACATAGATACCACTCCCTAAACATTTAATGAATAAATAAAATATTAAAAGCCTGCAATTATCTGACATATTTTCATGAAAATTCATGACCCACAAGTGTTCATCTGAGAAATGACAAAGCCAGGATCCCCCAAAAGTGCTAAGTCTTGATTCAGTGCATTTCCATCAAGAAAATCTTGATCAAATTAACTTACATGAAAACACAAACCTGCCTGATTCTTACCTACTAATTTACTCGCTTGGCAGAAAAATAGAAGATGATTAGTGTTGAAAAAGAGTAATTAATCGATTCAAAATATATTCAGTTTGCTCCATGCTAAAACAAAAACTCTGAAACAGCACTTTAACAAAACTGTTAAACAGCATTCTCTTCCTCAATCCCCAGGTTCACAATCAGTACTGACAATTACTAGACAAAACATATAATGTTTAACTGGACAGAAAATTAATCCTATCAAAAACACATGAAAGTATCAACTGGTAAAGCAAAAACCTTTGGTCTCTTTAGCTTTCAAAAAAGGGGAATAGGCATTCTGCACAAAGCATTATTGTTCCGACATAATAGTAAACTATTTACATTATACATGTATGTGTGTATGTATGCGTATATGTGTATGTACACACACATATATCTATGTATAAAAGTGTGTGTGTGTGTGTGTGTGTGTGTGTGTAGAGAGAGAGAGAAATATAGATATATAGATAAGTTTTTTAAGGCTGGAATTCCAAATCACAAAAATAATTTAAGATTTTGCAGTATCAATACATTAAAAATCAGTTATAATTAAAACAAAATTTCAACAAAATTTGTAAAACTGCATTTAAAGCCACAGTTCCTATAGAATTCCAAGCATCTGAGATAGAAATAGCATGGAAACAGAAATACAAAGCAATACCATTCAGCCAAAGAGCTTGGTGAACAAAATATCAAACTGGCGCCCCTTGTTCATTAGGCTCTACAATTCTCTCATAATCATTAATAATCATTTAGTGTGGCATTCTGTAATATTAGACTACAAAGTAAGCTACGGTTAGCATTTTCACCCACCTGCTCTGTTCCTTTATTATCAGGACTATGAGATTAGTGTCAAATAGACTAGGTTAAACACATAATTTTACTGATGACTTTTATTTGGGATTGTTCTGTTAAACTTATCCCAGGTTTGGGCTCAGAGTTAATGCTAAATGAAAATGAGATGGCATTCTCATGGCCAACCTGGGGAGGAAAGGAAGTTTGTTTATGAAGCGCTAAACTAGAATTGTTAAGCAATGCTTGTCCATACCAGGCTTCTGTTATCTCATGACTTGTTACTAATATAATTGATGAGGCAGTGGAGGAATGAAAGATTGTGCAAAACTTACTCATTTAGAAGAAATAGTAAAATAACAACAATGATTTAGATCATCATCTAGATCAGGGTAGTCAATCTTTTTATACCTACCGCCCACTTTTGTATCTCTGTTAGTAGTAAAGTTTTCTCTAACCCCCCACCGGTTCCTCAGTAATGGTGATTTATAAAGTAGGGGACAAAACCCCTACCGCCCACCATGAAAGCTGGAACGCCCACTAGTGGGCGATAGGGACCAGGTCGACTACCACTGATCTAGATCCATGTTAGTCCATGTGAACTAGTTCCTGTTAGGCTGCTAAATCAGAGTGTGCAAGGACTTTCTGGACTGTGGGATAAAAAGTTCGTTTGAGCAGGTACTCACGTTTTCATGCTTCATGTGCTTCAGAAGGCGCAGTTCCCGGTAGGCTCTTTTGGCAAAAAGCTCCGATTGAAATGGGCGGTACAACTTCTTGATAGCCACCTTGCTTCCACTTTTCTGGTCTATAGCTGAACTTAACAGAGACAGGAAGAGCTGCATTAGATGTAACTAGAGAAGACATGTGGGCCTGTCCAGCCAAAATAGCTACTCTATTAATCTTCTAAGGCGGAAAAATTCAGCTATCTTTTATTGTGTTACAAAGGTGTCTATAAATTAATAAGAATGGTTGTTTAAAAGAGGTGACTTCTGCCCTGTTCTCCTTCTAAGTGCGGCAAGAAGTTTGCTTATTTTGGGAAAATTCTTCACAGACTGGAGGCTCACTCCTAGCACCACCAACACAGTTAACTACATGCTTCTACCTTAATAACAGACTATAGCTTGCTTATTTGTAAGTTTATCCGTTTCAGCCACGGTGGCGCAGTGGTTAGAGTGCAGCACTGAGGCTACTTCTGCTGACTGCCAGCTGACTGCAATTTGGCCGATCGACTCTCACCAGGCTCAAGGCTGACTCAGCCTTCCATCCTTCCAAGGTCAGTAAAATGAGGACCCAAATTGTAAACTTGTAAACCACTTACAGAGGGCTGTAAAAGCTGTATCTAAGTCTAAGTGCTATTACTTATTGCTATTTAGAGGTGTATCATAACAAGAAACCTAAGAAACTGCTCAAGTTGTATCCTCCTTTTCAGAGGAGCCAGAGAACTTTTGCGTGAGTAACAGATACTTTATCAAAGAATTAAGAACTCATCTCAGCAGAGTGTAATTACTTAAGGTCATGTTTTGTGTAAGAGAGACACAGAGAGAGAGATTTGTGTATGAGTGTGTGTAAGATAGATGAACAACATATTGTTATTCACTGGGGGTCATATGCCACTCCAGTCCAAAAGGTTGAAGCGACTTAGATTCACCTCTACAATAACCTCAACACCTGAGGAACAACCAAACATAACAAGAGAGGTTACACCATCCTCTCCCACTTCCATGGCCATGCTCTGACGTGTTCAATGCATTCAAACTGCCAATTACACCAACCATCATCAGGGCACATGCCAGAGGAAGTAAAACATCAATGTTTCCTATTTCCATTTGAGATCTGGGATCAACAGAAGAGAAGAAACCAGTAATTGATAGATGGAAATCATACAATGAAGCATTAAAAGGGAAGGGAAAGAGGAAGAAAGGACAGGATGTAATGTGATGTAATGTAACGGACACACTTCACAGTGCTTTTTGGCAGTAATATAGAAGCAGTTTGCAATTGCTCTTTCCTAAGTTGCTTTTTCAACTTCCCAGTCTATTCTATAACTAGAGAATCTCCTGGTAGCCTCCCATCCATAAAAACAGGTCCAATTTGTTTTTTTATCCTCCTAGGTTGGCTAAATAGTACCTATACATTTTTGGAATTAGATTTCCAGCAGAAAATTTGTCTTTCTGTTTATTTGGCTTTTTTAAAAAAGTACTCCCAGGGAGGCAAGTTTTTCCACAGATGAATTGTTCGAACTGTCAGGAAATTTCTCCTTAATTCTAGGTTGCTTCTCTCCTTGATTAATTCATTGTGGCAGCAAAGATGTTAAAAGGCTGAGTCATTTCCAGTTAGTAAAAATGGCATGTATTGTGAGAATATTTCTGGGGAAAAAAAAAAAAAAAAGCATTTCCCTTTACAAAAACCAGCCACATTTTTTTTTTGGTGGGGGGCGGTGTTGCAAAATTATAATTCACTGCCCAAGGTTGTTTCAGATCCCAAAAATCGTTACCCCACTTCTCTGTCCCAAAACAACGCAGTAACTTTTCTCTCTCCTCCTTCCGCATTTTCTATATAACATGGCAAAAAGAGCAGAATTAAGAAATTCAACCTTCAAAGCCACCCGAAGTGCTGCTAAAAACCACCCGTTGCTTCTGGGTTCACTTTCAATGCACAAAGGAGAGCGTGCTGCATTCAGACAACACGTTGTTGTTGTTGTTGTTGTTTTGTTTTTGTTTTTTAAAAAACACCTCTCGATCTGCATGCCCCATAACTGTCAATTTTTGATTACTGGAGTCTTTTTTTTTTTTCGCGGTCCCCGCGTGTTAAGAACCCCCCCCCCCAGCTGATGCGAAGTGAGAGAAACCTAGAGAAAACGGATCCCGCCCTCAGTACCCAGGTCGAGCGTATCGTGTGAACAGGTCCAACCGCAGGTCTGTGGAAGAAAAGGCGGTAAGGCTGGCATTTCGGGCATCTGCCTCTGGTTCCCGGCTGCCGCGGAACAGGCTTATTGGGTGTGTGTGTGTGTGTGTGTGATGTGTAATGTGTGTGTGTGTGTGTGATGTATGTGTGTGTGTGTGATGTGTGTGTGTGATGTATGTGTGTGATGTATATGTGTGTGTGTGTGTGTGTGTGTGATGTGTGTGTGCATGTGATGTGTGTGTGATGTATGTGATGTGTGTGTGATGTATATGTGTGATGTATGTGTGTGTGATGTATGTGTGTGTGTGTGATGTGTGTGTGTGATGTATGTGTGGTGTGTTTGTGTGATGTGTGTGTGATGTATATGTGTGTGTGTGTGTGATGTATGTGTGTGATGTGTGTGTGATGTATATGTGTGTGTGTGATGTATATGTGTGATGTATGTGTGTGTGTGTGATGTGTGTGTGTGTGATGTGTGTGCGTGTACAAAAACGCGTGTAAGGAAGACCCAGCGCGAAGAGGCCCTTGTTCCCTGGCTGGACGGGGCCGGACTTTGGCTCCGGCAGCATCGCAGCGCTTCCCTCGGGGCTCCTTCCTCTGCCCTCCAACCAGGGGGCGCCTTGGGCGGCGGCCACTTACCAGACGGCGCCGTAGGCTCCGGAGCCCACCGCCTGCAGCTCCCGGTAGCGCTCCCTCACTTCCCAGACGGTCTTGGCGATCTCCTGGCGGGAGAAGCCTTCCCTGGGGGCGGCCATCGCGGCCCCTCTCCCTCTTCCCCAGATTGCCCTCAAAGGGGAGAGACGGGGGGATGGGGGGGGAGAAGAACGTCCCCAAAATTTTACCGCAGAGGAACGTCAGCCGGGAAACGAAGGGCGCGCGCAGGGCCTTTGGGGCGGCGTTACCCACCCTCTTGAGGGGCCTCTCCGCGGCACCGGGCCCCTTGCGCGTCTCCCCTACCCACCCAGCCCACCCACGCACCCCCTTTTGCCTTGCTCCCGTCCGCTTTCCCCGGGTGGAGGAGGAAGAGGAGGAGGAGGAGAGCCGCGCGGCGGTCCCTTGGCTGCGCCGAAAGGCCACAGATGCGCGCGCGCTCGCTCGCGCTCTCTCTCTCTCTCCGCCCTTTCCTTCCTTCCTTCCTCCCGTGCTCATTTTGGGGGGGATGAGAGAGAAAGAAACCCCGCGGGATGTGCAGGCCTGGCCCCCCCTTTCCACCTCCTCAGAAAGGGCTCCTCTCTCCTCCCCGCTTGTTAGCCTGATTGGGATTTACTTAGGTATTTGTATCCAACCTTGGCTAGTTTTTTTTTTTACAAAATAACTCAAGGTGGCGGACATACCCAGCGCGCACCTTCCTTTCCTCCTATTTGGCTTTGCAGTCGCAGTCACTTGACAAGCCCTGGAGAAGAGCCCTTGCGCCAACCCACCAAAGGATGGCTTTCAAGTTTATATGGCTTTCAAGTTTATGGGCCTTGGCGTGCTTGCAGAAAGCGGGGAAACTGAATGGCGCTAACTTGGGGTTGGGGTTGCCAAGGTTCAGCAAGGAGAAGGAGGTCTGTGGTGGAAAGCAGCTGCTTGGCATAGTGGAACAAAAAAAGGGTTTTTTTTTGTTTTTGGGCGGGCAGGGCGGCCTTGGGATCTTCTCTCTCTCTCTCTAGCTGCTGAAAATGGAAGGCGTTATTTCATAATTAACTGCTCTTGAAGTCCTTAACGTAGGCCTGCCATGTCCCAATTGAAAACCCCCCCGAAAAACCTCCCAACTGCCTCCAGACCCAGCCTGGCCACAGATCGGATCTCCCCAGATGAGATCTCGCTCTCGGCCTCACCTCCGGCCTTCCTATCTTTTGAGGGTTTCCAGGTTGACCATCTTTTCAAGCACAGGAGGAGGTTGCAATCTGCAGGCTACTGCAAGTCAAGCTGGCAGCAGGGAAGTTAGCGCCATTCAGTTCCCCCCCCCCCTTTGTGCAAGCATGCCAAGGCCCATACATTTTAAAGCCATACGTTCCTTTGGTGGGTGGACGCAACCGCTGTCCTCCAGGACTTGTAAAGGGACTGCAATGCAAAGCCAAATAGGAGGAGGAAGGGTGTGTCGGGTATGTTTGCCACCTCGAGTCACTTGTAAAAATAATAAAGGTTGGATACAAATACCTAAGTAAATCCCAATCAGACTGGGACATAAAATAAACTTAAATTTCCAGTTTGCAGAAACTTCCTTGGATGAGATCACCTCAGGGTTAGCTTCTGTCCACCATCACGTTTAACTTGAATGAAACAGGTTGATATATAGTAACGTATTGTGCAATTATATAAATTCAATGAGCAGTAAATTTAGATTCATTCTTAAAAGGCCCTGGGATTATCTGAAGCTCAACCAGCCCTCTTGATGCATTATGTTATCCAAAACCAAAATAAAGATGGCAAAGTTGATTTTGTGTCATCAAGTTGATGTCACCTCTGAGCAGCCACGTAGGTTTTTCTCTGTGATGATCTCTCCCTAACCTGGTCCTTCAACTTTCCCAACGATGCATTCCTTGCTATTGTAACTGAGCCTGGTTCTATGGAGATCATAGAAGGAAACCTCTGTTAGTCTACAGTGGCAAAAAAATAAATAAAATTGATAGCGCTTTTTCTTTCCAACAAATTCAGTTTAAAAGCTTTTGTGAACTGCAGCTTTTTTATCAGAAACACAGAGTGCTAGATTGATGTGAGGCGAAGTAGATAGTGGTGATCGGGAGATATTTATGCAGATACATCAACTGAGATGGTCTGAAACTTTTTGAAGTATGTGATTTAGCAATCTTGCTTAGTGAGGGGATTAAAATGCTAATTTTCCAAACTAGTAATCTTGAGGTCTGCTGCAGAATGTCCTAGAAAGTTGAAATGCTGTTCTGTTCTAAGGATTTGTGATGTACTCTATTGCTCTTTTTATAAGGGAGGTTAATTGGAGACTTCTGAGATTACTACAGAAGAGTACGTAGGCAAAAATATGTTCCACCCGTGATTTATCTCTTGACTGGAGAGTTCAATTAGGCATGACAGCCAAGAGAAAATTCAAGAAGAACAAGGATATCCTGGGGTGTCTATAGTATATGGTCAAAAAAGCCAAGATGGCAGCCACGATAGGATTTTTCATCGCTCATGAAAAAACAGCTTCAATTGCAACTTTTTGGTTGCCATATGAACTTTTTTTAAACCATATCCCTGAGGGTATCTAGTAATATAAGATGAATTTAGCATTTTTCATTTACTTACAATTTATCAATCTTGTCTCTACCATATCTATAAAAAGTTAGGTTATAGATTATAAGTAGAAACTATGAACCATCTTAATCAGCCAAAGTGTATTCTCCAGCCTGGAGTTCTTAAATACAGTGTAATCTTATTGATTACAGTGTAATCTTATTTTCTAAACATGTTGTTTTAAAGGGGGAAAGGCTAGGATCTCTTTTATTTTGTTCTCCCAATGCTTGCTTAAGAATGAAGCTTAGAGGTAACACATACATAAATACTAGATATTGCTAAAAGCTCCTTTGTACACCTTACCTTGAGTGGTACCTTCACTAAGAAGAAAGCTGTTTGGGCACGTTATACTTAATCCACAGGGAGCTTGCTTGTGAGGTGTAAAACACCAAACCAAACCAAGCAAATCAAACGAAACACCATCCTAGAATCTTAGCTGATGATCCCTCAAGGATTTCTACTAAAGCATGACTGCTGTGACTACCCATGTCCAGGTTGCTTTCAGCGTCTCAAGGGGACAATTCTCTGATAGAAAGGCAGTAATACAAAGCTCTGGCAATATGATCTATTTCCTATCGTACCTCTGGGCTTATATGTCTGTACTAGTTATAGAACAATAAATAGAAGATCCTAAAACAATCCTGGCTGAGTACAGCAGGTGCACAAAAAAAATACGAGCGAACAACCTGCTTTAATAGAGTTTATCTAGAATTGATTTTCAAAAAGTGTATTGTTTCTATTTGTTACCGGATTTTGAGCCAACATCATAGCAGCGGGAGCATCTGATTAATCTTATTGAGGCTGGGAAGATAAATTAGACTGGAAACTGAAAACACAGCTTTCTACAGTATATTGTTACGGTATATTGAAAATGACCTGGGCCTAGGGGTTGAGTCTGATTTCAGCCTTTTTTCCCTCTAGCCAATGTTTTACTTCAGGATATACATCTAAATGGGCTGAGAAATCTGAATAATATAGACAATAGGAAAGTAAGAGCTAGAGATAACAGAAATACAAAATAAAATTTGCGTGGGAGCACCTTCCATCTGCAATATTTCTTTGGCAGAGATTATGTGTGCTATGCTTCGCTGCATGGTTTTAGATCAGGGATATATTGAATGAACTGCCCACTTCTGGTTAAATGCTAAGAAGATTCATATGCATATGTATACATACATATCTTTATACGGATGATAGAGATTGATTGATCGATAGATTAGATAGATAGACAGACAGACAGACAGATAGCAGACAGAACGCCAGTCAGTCAGAGAGATAATTAGATACATATAAGTTAGATAAGAAGATATATATATATATATATTTCTAGTCGTTGGGTGACAGAGAGAATGACCAAATTTGTTGTGCATTCCAGTATTAGGGTGTCTTTTAGTAGTGAATTGTTTTCTGTATCCCCCTTCCCCATTATTTCTGGGATGCTGTAACCTGCCAGCTGAAGGTAGTACTGTGTTAAGTCCAATACAGTTAGTTGTCTCCGAGTAGTATTTGCAATCCTCCTTTGTTTTTATATTTACACAGATCTCTTTTCTGTATAAGGATAATAACCTTGAAAGACAAGGATCCCATATCCAAAGAGAGTGAAATATTCCACTGCTTCTTCATATTTCAGAGTTAGTCTTTACTTTTCTTGCATTTATTTACTTTTGAAATTTATCAAAAAGTGTGAAAAGCTGACACATGAAAAAGAGTTACCCATTATAATCCAAGAAGATAAGGCGTGGAAAAATGGTTGTCAATTGCAGGAAGACTTGAAGACAGCAGACTGATTATGGACCAATTACTAAAACAGTGGTGGTTTGATTCAGTTTACTGGATGTCAGTAGAGTTGTTAGGGATGTTTTAATTTGGATTTTTGCATGGATGTCACATTTGACTAGGTGGCCTACACGACTTCTTCCAACAATATGGCTCTGCAGAAGATCTAATTTCACATGAGAAATTGTTTTTGTGAACATTTTCCTCCTACTTCTCTAAACTGCCATCATAATCCAGGACCAACAGCGGTTAATTATGAAAACAAACTTCCCTTTTGCATTGTGTCTATTTATTTAAAGAGAAGTTGTAGTTCTTTATTTGTATACATTTTTATGTGGTTGATTTCTGTCCACTGAATGCAGGGAACAGGGCAGGAACATTAAGATAATTGAACATTTAAAAAAGGCATGTCAAGAAGGCACCATTGGCTGAACAATTGAAGCCATGCCTTTTTAAATGTGCACTCTGGATGCCCTAGGAGAGGGTTAGGAAGGTGAATATTTTAAGATACCTGATTTTACATCTGCATGAATCTTTCAGCTGTTGTACTAACTGCAGTTGACTGCTGCTACTCCGAATGAATTAGATCAGGTTTGGGGGCTCTACAAATCAATTATATTTTAATATATCAGAAGTAGCAATAATTAAAGTGCACTTTGCTACACTCACTGTATAATTGAACATATGTTTATCATCTGCACCTCTAAAACTGCCTAGTTTGGTTATGCAACCCAACAAGACAGACACAGACTTCAGAGGATAATTAGGACTGCAAAAAAAACAAAAACCTACCAATCTGCCTTCCACTGAGGACCTGTATA